ATAATAAAAATATAATAAAAATAAAAATAATACATTTAATAATAAATTTTAATAACTAAAAAAGTAAAAGAGAAGATGAATGAATTGAAACATGATAAAGTTACTCAAATTAAACAAATGTTAATTGCTATACCAAATGGAGATGTTCTTTATAGTGGACACTATGAAGAATTATTTTCTGTAACAACATTAGAATTAATGATGGTTAAATTAAATAAACTTAAATGGAAACTTAATGCTAATCCAACTATTTCAAAAGAAATTAAAAATCAAGTAAATTCTATGGTTAAAACTGGATTTGAAAATATTCTTTGGGGTGATTCTACTTCACAATATATTAATGATGAATTAAAATTATTAGAATCATCAGATTCACCTTGTAATTGTATTTATGAAGAACAAACTTCTATTCCTCTTTATAATCAACTCTTTCATGCAACTCCTGAACAATTAGAACGAATTTATGATATTATTATTCATTCAAATTTAAATATTAATGAAACAAAAATTCAAAATAATAAAGATGAAATGGATATCGAATTTACTATTAATGACCTTTCTAAACAATGTCTTTTAGACATTCAACAAATTTTAAATGAATTATTTTAAAAATTAAATATTCCAAGGTTTTCCGGTCAACAGTTCTATAACTTTTGACTGTAATTACTTGTTCATTCTATGATCCTAATAGGTGTTATATAATCTAATTATATAACAAGGAAAGAATCAATGTACATTTAAATTTAAAATATTTGATTTTCTTTATTTTCTTTTTTATTTTTTTTAAATTATGGTTTAGGGTTTTTTAAATACCAAAAATTTTAAATACCAAAAATATTAAATAAAAAATAAAAAAAAAAAATCGAAAAGGGTAAACTCTGATATATTCAAAATTCGAGAAAATTCTTTTTCAATAAAAAAATTTAAAAAAAGATAATAAAAGAATATTCTACTTAGGACAAATAAACTAGTTTTGTTTTAGAAATTTACTATTTCTTTTTTAAATTGGACCTTCTTCTATTATTTATACAACTCTTTCATCTTAAAAGTTCAAGTCATGAATACTAAAGTCGTTCAACCTGAACCTCAAGAACCTAAACAAGAATCAAGTGATCCTTCTACTTCTGAAGAAACTATTTTAGATCAGCCTGTTCAATTAAAATCATTTACTACTGAAACTCAACAACTACTTGAACATCCTAAAAAAGATGTTTGGTATAAAGATGTTAATGTTTATAAATTATTGTTTTTATTAATTGTTAATCTCTTATTCTTCCTTTGTGAATTAATTACAGGTATTGTTATTCATTCATTAGCTCTTCTTGCTGATGCTTTTCATATGTTAAGTGATCTTTTATCACAAGTAATTGGTCTTGGTGCTATTTTATTAGCAAAAAAGAAAGCTTCTAAACGTTTAACTTATGGTTTTGTTCGTGCTGAAGTTGTTGGTGCTCTTATAAATGGTGTCTTTTTATTATCTGTTGCTTTCTTTATTATTATTGAAGCTATTCAAAGATTTATTGATATTGAAGAAATTACTCAACCAAAAATTATGCTTATTGTTGCTGCTATTGGTTTATTCATTAATCTTGCTGCTATGTTATTATTCCATGACCATCATGGACATTCTCATGGACATTCTCATGGACACTCACATGGACATTCACATAAACATTCTCATGAAGGGTATCAAAGACATGAAAGTCATGAAGAAGAAATGAAAGAAAATGATGTAAAAGAAGTTGCTATTGATACTGAAACCAAAAAAGAAGATAAAAAGAAAAAAGAACATCATCACCATCAAAATTTAAATATGAAAGGAGTTTTCTTACATGTTATGGGAGATGCTTTAGGAAGTATTGTTGCAGTTGCAGTTGCTCTTTGTGTTTGGTTCATTGATGGAGATTGGAAATATTATCTTGATCCATCATTATCAGTAATTGTTGCATGTGTTATTATATGTTCAGGAACACCATTAGTATATTCTTGTGTTAAAATTTTAATGCAACGAGTTCCACAAAATGTTTCAATAAAAAAATTAAAAAGAGATATTTTAGCTGTTAATGGTGTTGATTCAATTCATGAATTTCATTTATGGCAGTTAGCCAATGAAACAAATATTGCTACAATCCATTTATTCTTAAATGAAGATGATCGTTGTCGTGTTATGGAAATTGTTCAAGACGTTAAAAATGTATTCCATAAATATGGAGTTCATTCAACAACTATTCAAACAGAATTAGGTGTTATTGGAGAAGAAAATGGACATGATTCTGTTGGAGTTTCAAGAAGATGTTTGATTGGTTGTCCAAGTGATGAATGTAAAAATGATGTTTGTTGTAAACAACCATTAATTGAACAGAAATAATACAAATTCTTATTTTTTTTTTTTATTCTAAAAATTTTAATTAAAAAAAAACTTAAAAACAAAAAAAAAATATAATAAAAAAACAGTCAATGGAAGGAGTTTTGGCTGTTAGTGATGGATATGATTTATATACAAATGATGTTGGAAGTGTTAGAGGAAATCTTGAACCTAAAATTATTTCATTTGTAAAGAATTTTAGTAAACATAAAAATAATGTTTTTGATTATAGAGAACAATTACAAAGAAATATTAGAATGGGAAAATATTTCTTAGAAATTGATATTATGGATCTTCAAAATTTTGATGAAAGTTTAAAAGAAGCATTATTTAAACATGCATCAGAATTTATATCAATTGTTTGTTTAAATAATAATTAGTTAATAACCAATATTAATATATAGTTTGAAAATGTTCTTTCAGTTCAAGTACTTTCAATGAGAGGTTGGGAAAAAAAAGAAGATTATATAGAAAGTGATACTGGTGGTCCAATGATGCAAGTTATTATTAAAGATACTCAAAGTAAAATGATTCAACCTCGTATGTTACAATCTTCTTTTCTTAGTAAAGTTATTAGAGTAAGTGGTATTATTGTTTCAATTAGTAGAGTTGAACCTAAAGTTACTAAAGCAATTTTAAGATGTAGAAGTTGTCAAAAAGAAATTGCAGTTATAGTCCCATCATGTTGTGGTATTATTAATTATCCTAAATCATGTGATGGAGTAAGTCCAGTAACTGGTAAAAAATGTCCTCCAGATCCTTATGATGTTGTTACTGAAAAATGTAAATTTGTTGATAGAATTGTATTAAAATTACAAGAAACACCAGAAAATGTTGCACCAGGTGAAGTTCCAAGAACAGTTACCGTTATTTTAGAACGATATCTTGTTGTTGGATTAACAGCTGGTCAAAGAATATGTATTGAAGGTATTTTTGGTGCATCTTTACAAAGAAAAGGAACCATTTCAACATCATATATTAGAGCAATTGGAATTGAAATAAGTGGTCAAGTTGTTTCTCAAGATGATCGAAGAATGAAAGAAGTTGCAAGAACAATAACTAAAGAAAAACTTATTAAATCAATTGCACCAGCTATTTGTGGGTATGATGATATTAAAGAAGCTGTTTTATGTCTTATGCTTGGTGGAAGTGGAAAAGCACTTCCAGATGGAACTCATTTAAGAGGAGATATTAATGTTTTATTAATGGGAGATCCTGGAACAGCAAAGTCTCAATTACTTAAATTTGTTCAAATGGCAACTCCAATTGGTGTTTATACTTCTGGTAAAGGTTCTTCTGCTGCTGGATTAACTGCAGCTGTTAATAAAGATTCTTCTACTGGAGAATTTTATCTTGAAGGAGGAGCTCTTGTACTTGGAGATGGAGGTGTTGTTTGTATTGATGAATTTGATAAAATGAATGAAGTTGATCGTGTTGCTATTCATGAAGCAATGGAACAACAAACAATTTCTATTGCAAAAGCAGGTATTACAGCTGTTTTAAATGCACGATCTGCTGTTTTAGCTGCAGCAAATCCATCATTTGGAAGGTTTAATGAGAGAGCATCATTTGGTGATAATGTCAATTTAAAAACTACGATTTTGTCAAGATTTGATATGATTTTTATGATTAGAGATAAACATGACGCAAAAAGAGATAAAGAAATTGTTAAACATATTATGGATATTCATCGTCAAGACGTAAAAGTTGATAACTTAAGTACAGACATTTTAAAGGAATATATTGCTTATTGTAAAGCATATTGTATTCCTCGTCTTACAGAAAATGCTTCAAATAAATTATCGAATTATTTTGTTTCAATTAGACAAAAAGTAAGAGAAAATAAACTTGAAAACGATAATGATGAAGGTATTCCAATAACTGTAAGACAACTTGAAGCTATTATTCGTATTAGTGAAGCATTAGCAAAAATGACTATGAGTGATATTGCTGATGAAAATCATGTAGATGAAGCTATAAGATTATTTGAATTATCAACAATGAATTCTGCTGTTAGACAAAAAGAAAAACATAAAAAACGAAGAGATGATAAGTAATTCAATGTCTTTATTATTTTATTACTTCTCTTCATTAATTATTCATAAATAAATTTATATATTTATTGATATTTATTATGATAATTTCAATTTTAAAACCATACATTAATGAACATTAACAAAAATGTTAATAACCAAATATAATAACTAACATTAATATATATTTTGATATTCTTGTTTTGTGAGGTTAACTAACAAATTGTTTCTCTTTTTTAATTATCAATTCTTTTCTCTAAAAAGTCTCAAATATTCATTGTGAGAATATATTCTTCAACTTTAATATTATCTTTTGTACTAACAAAAAAGTGTTTAATATTACCACTTATTTTTTTTTCCAAATCCATCAATAAATTGTGACTATACAGATATTTTATCTTTGAAATTCATTCAATTTCTAATAATAATTATATACAATATATTACAAATGATTTTTTTTTTCAATTACCTCATTAAATCTAGTTACTATTTGATCATATATAGATGTACTAATTTCATCATAACCTATAAAAATTCTTTAGAAAATCTCTGTAATACTATGATACTATATTTCTAAATCTTTCTTAACAAACTTCAAAAATAAAACTGTTTTATTTTCTTATTGTACATCTCATAAAATCTATTAACAATCTAATATCCCATAATTTTATCTTATACTTTTATTCTTTACTTTCATTAAAATACTAATTATTGATATATATTATAATTTAAGTATATTTTTACAAAGTTTTTGTATTAATTCAGTCTTTTCATCTTTAGATTCTTCAATAAAGAGAGATGAATTATAATTCATTTTATTTTTTATTTTAATCAATTATATTCAATTTCATTGATTTAAACTTCCTCATGAATAAAATCTTATTTAAACTTAAAAACCTTTTAGTCTGTCTCTAATTAATACATCTAAATAAACAAAACATTTCAAAAAATAATCTGAATAATTAAAAAAAGACTTATTCCTTAGTTATTTGATTAGAATGATTTTTACGAAGTTCTTCCCATTTCTTTCTTAACTCTTCAATAGAAATAGGTGCAGATTCAGCTCTAATGAGTTTTTTACGTTCATATATAGTTGGTTTTTCACTTACAATAGAAGCAGCGAGAGAAACAGCTTTAGGAGTTTTAAAATATTTTTCAAAAGTAGAACTTAATGATAAACCAGTGTCTGAAGAAGTTGTTTTTTTTGTTCTTTTTCTCATAGGAATTCTCTTCTTTCCAGTAGGACTAACTGTTGGGTGTTCAACAACTTGTTTTGAATAAACTACAGATGTTTCTGTTTCATTATTTATTTCTTCTGTAGAAGTAGAAGGAAGTAAAGATGGAGTATTGATTATATGATTTACCTTTTCATATTCTGAGATTTTATCAGCAAGATGAGATATATCAAGATCATCTTCTTTTTCATCATCAGAATCATAAGTATCATATACATAATAAAGGAAATCATCCCATAAATTACTAACTTCTTTAACAAGTAATTGAAGACTTAATTTAAACCCATCAACAAGTATTGGTTTATAATCACTAATAAGGTCTGAACCATTATATGTTCTTACATTAATTCCAGTATCAGAAATAAGCATTCCAGCACCTTTATTTCTATCAGAATAATTAGGAGCACTAAAAATAGTAAAAGCTAAAGGAGAATCAAGATCAATATCTCCAAAATTATGTAATTCAATTCCATTAGAAACACATTGATGCCCTCTTATAATAGCTCTAACTTGTGTATTTTCAATAAACTTAGACATAGCAGCATATCCATAAATAAAAGAACAATTTCTTGGACTATTAGGAAGAAAACCAATAGTTTCCCATTTCCATTTTATATTTGGATTTTCAGCGAAGAAAGAATCACTTGTAGGATCAGACCATAATAAATCACAAAATAATCCACTATGAGGAGGTTCAGTAAATCTATCAATATATCTAATATCATCTAATACATTTAATTTAGGTGAAATACCACCATGACATAATAAGAAAGAACCTAAAGAACATTTAAATAAAGCGGCTAATGGAATTGTATTAAAAAACTCACAAAATAAATCATATATAAAAGTATTATATTTCCAAATTGTTTCTGTTTTAAAACCAAATTTTTCTGTCATAGAACGAGATTCATGATTACCACGAAGTAAAATAACACCATTTGGATTATTTACTTTCATACAAAGTAATGTAATAAGAATTTCACATGAATATTCTCCACGATCAACATAATCACCTAAAAAAACAGTTGTATATTGATATTTATCCCATTCATTATCAGATAACTCAGATAAAAAATCAAAATATTGTCCATGAAAATCACCAAAAACAAGAGCAGCATTTTCTATTTCAATTAAATTAGGTTCTGCTCTTGTTAATTCTGAAACTTCTTTAATAAGAGAAATTAAACAATTTTGTTCAATAATTCCACCTTTCATAAAATGATCTCTAAGAACATTCAAATCATATTTACCATTAAATCGAGGAATAATTAATTTTGATTGAAGAATAGTCATTACACTCAATAAAACATTTTTAAGTTCTTTGAAAACAATATGAATTTCATTCTTTTTTTTTCTTCTTTTCTTTTACTTCCATCAAAAAAAAAATTATTTTATTTTTTCTTTTAGTTTTTTTATTATAAAATAAATTATTTCTTTTAGTATTTTTGGTTAATAAAATTTCTGTTTTTATTATTATTTGAAATTCTGAATGGAACACCTTATTAGTGAAGAAACAAAAGTTACTGTTCAAGCAATTCAAGATATTTCTGGTCTTGGATTTCTTGATAAAAGTAAAGGAACAAATATTCCAAGTTTAACTGAATTAACACAAACTCAACACAATATTGAATCTCAAATTTCAACTTCAAATTCACAAAATGATTTATCTCTTAATGATTCATCTATTCCTGAAGGAAGAAAATTTCAAATACCTTTATGGTTAGCTATTACTTTACAAAACTATGGTTATGTTAGAATTATTGTTAATGAAGAATTTAATAAAGAATATTCCCGTCAATTTATTAAAAAAGCAACTGATGTATTTGAAGTAAATCCTTCTTCTATTAATTTTAGTAAATTCCCTTTTTATTTTGAAGTTGGTGGAAATATTGCACAAGAAATTGGTGATGTTGAATTAGCTAAATCTATTCGTAACATGATGTTAATTCGTTTACGTCGTATTTATGATGAAGCTTGTAATTCATCAGAACAAACAAATAAATTTGTTAGAACTTTAACTCATTCAGAAAAAGAATTATATCAAGAAATTATTGACGTTAATGCTCAATCAAAAAAAGTTAAAACAATGGAACTTGACCATGTTCAAATGTCTTCATTTCATGATATTATTCATAAATAATTGTAAAAATCATAATTTTAACTTTTCCTTTCTTTTTCTTTTTTTCTTCTTCTTCTTTGTATAAACTTAAAAATTATTGAACTTATATTTCCTGTATAATGGAAATTACTTTTGTTCAAGGTAATAATTGGCCAAAAGCTGATGTAATTCAATGGTGTGATCCTTATGTTATAATGAAGTATACAGAAGAAGGTTCCCCAAAGGTTTTTAAAACTTCAGTTCAAAAGAATACTTCTGAACCTAAATGGGACCAATCAATAGAAGTAAAAGAATTGTCAGGAGAATTAGTTTTTGAATGTTGGGATTGGGATAGAATGAATTCTGATGACTTACTTGGAACAGTAAAAATACCAATTCCTGATTTTCAAGAACCAGAAAAGACAGTAACGCTTGTTGTTGTTCTTGATGAGTCTTATAAGAAGAAGAGAAAAAATAATAATATGGAAACTACTATTACTATCACATTTAAACATTCTAATGTAAAAACTCCTACTAAAGTTAATAGTTTACAAGAAACTCTTAAACAAGAAGAAGAAAAGAAAAGAGTTTATTTAAAGGATTATATCCCAGTATTAAAAATTTTTACTGGTAAAACTGATTTTTCTTTACTTTTCTCTTCAGATATCTTCTCAATAGATCCAGAAGTATTACATACTAAGATTTATGGTAAAAGAAATTTAATGTTACTTATTATTACTGAAAATGGATGTTCATTTGGTTCATTTAATGAACAACCAATATTAGGTGATGCTGAAGGTAATGATGATATATCAAAAGATGATAACGGATGCATTTTTTCTATTGTTGGACCAATGTCTGATCCAACTCGATTTAATGTAAAAAATCCTAATGCCACGTCATTATGTCTATTTAATGGAAAGTCACAATCTCAAGATGTGATTATTGGAGTAAATGGTGCTTTTTATATTAAAAAAGATAAATCAGTTTATGAACTTCCTTCTATTGGTGATTATTATGATATTGGTGGAAGTCATTCAGTACTTTTAGGTCAATTTTATCCAATAACATTTCCTATTTCAAAGTTCCTTGTGCTTCAATGGAATTAAAAAGTTATTATGACAAACCCATTTTCAACTTTGTTTTAAATAACTTTATTTTTTTTTCCTTTCTTCTAATAACATTTATCTTTTTGTTTTTTTTAGAGTCGTAGTATTAAAAACCCTTCCAACTAAAGTTGAGACTAAAAATAGAAGAGTTTTTTATCTTCCTATTTATTAATATCAATGTTATTTTTTTTTGTTTTTTCGTATTTATTTCTGAAAAGAAATATTGTTTTTTTTTAATAGTTCAAGTTATTTGAGAATTTAAGTTAGAAATTCAAAAAATGCACAAATAATTCAAGTTAAAACATCCAAAATACACTCTTTCTATATTATTTAAACACATTACAACGTATGAGATAAATAAGTAAAAAGGGAAAAGACATAAGTCTATCAGTAAAGACTTCATGACTGTTTTAACAACTAATTATTAAAAAAACTTTTTTTTTAATAAAAAAGATGTTTCTATTGACTAAAAATATAACTCGACAAAATTAATAGTAATTTTAAATAATTATTATAACTCCATTAACAAATAATATAGGATTAAGTGTAAAAAAGATTTAAACAGAAGTATAATTCAATCATTTAATACACTTTATTATATAATCAAATAAATAGAAGAAATTAATTAAAAAAACATGTAAATATAAATATTGAAGATTCTGTATAATAAATCAAATTTATATAACAAAAAGATTCTAGGAGGATAATTGAGACTAAGTCAAATAACCAAATTCAAAATGATGATTTTAATCAATAAATGAATAAGATACTTAAAAATTAGATGTTGTGTATGAAAAGAATTACTTTTCAATAAAATTGACATGTTTGTAAAAGAAAACGTCAAGGTTAGAGGAGTGTTGAGAAAGAACCTTTTAATAAACTTTTGTAACTATTAAATTAGTAACAGAATAAATATATCAAAAAAGAAAATAATTTTGTAAATAAACGAGTAACTAGTAACTCTATTTCAGTTTCTTAAGTGTACCTAAGTTCAACTAGGACTTTGTCATTTTTTTTGAAAAAAAAGATGATAGGACTAAAAATAGATTTAAACAACAACGTTTTTTTTTTAAACTATGAAAGAGTGAAAATATTTTGGATAATTTGACTAATAAAGAAGAATTACTCACAAATTGACTCGGCTTTTTTGGTTCATATAAATAATTTTGTCTCTCAATAAAATGAAAATAAAACTGCGATTCTTTTTATTAACAACCACTTAATTAAGAATGTTGCTTAAAATGATACTATTTAAAGTTCTTAAAGAATATCTTGAAAAATAGAATGAACGTTGTTGTCACGAGAAAGAAGTATAGAAGGTGCAATAAAAGTATAAAACTTTCTCGCCAAGAAGCTTTACAACTTCAGGTTGATTTTGAATGTGTGTTACTTGCTTTATTGTCTTCTCACTATGAATTTGTTATGACAAAGCCTCAGAAAAAGACTAAAACATCATTTCAATTTATGAAAGTGAAAGAAGCAATTTCATGTGATCCTAAAGAAGACTTTTTTGTCTTTAATGTTCAAAAATTTATTAAGACAAGAGCTTCAGAAATGGTTAGTTCAGAAATTAGAAATGGAATAAGTTACTTAACAGCACAAAGAAGAGTTCAAGACTTAAAACATATTGAAACTATTCATTTATTTGAAGATATGTTAGGAGAAGATTATATCTTTGAAATTGGATTTGAAGACCGTGATGGGATTCATGGTTCAATTCATATTTATTTTCATGATCAATTACTCTATACAACTAACCAAATCAAAAAAATTGGTCAATCAATTTATTTGTACATTAATTCAAAATTACCTTCACCAGACAGAATTATTCGTTTAAACGAACTTTCACCATTTCTTTCATTGTAAATCAAATTTTTTTTGTTTGATAAATCATATTTGTTCTTTTTTTATATTTTTCTTTTTATAGAATAACATCCAATATCATTTTGTAACGAATCTATAACCATTAAAGTTTTTTTCAAACAAAATAAAACTGTGTATTCTTCTAACACCCACAAAATTATATTTTTTATTCTCTCTAAATATTTTTCTTGGTAGTTTCTTCAGTCTAGACATTTGAATTTATTATCTTTTAGTCATGGTTATTAACAAATAGTTATATTCAATAAACTAGAATTAGTTTAACCGTTTGTTGTATATTTAACTGCTTTTAGATTAGTAAAAATGAATTAGGAGCAGTGTTTTTCTAGATTAATTTAATACCATGACATTAAAAACAAGATCAAATCGTGTGAATGAAAAAAAATACTTGATATTTTCAAACGCTTCATCTTTTTATGCGTTTTGTTATTTTCTTTATTACTTTTTAGATTAATTGTAGAACAAATATGTTTTGTTTAATAGAGTTTTCTCATAAACAATGACTTACAATTCATGACTGTCATTAAATATACTACTTACCATTATCTAAATTCAATTATATATTACTTTAAGTTAGTCATGACTTGTTGTTCGGTTATTGGGTTACTAGCTATTTATTTACTTATTTATCTGTTTCAATAGTTTAATATTGATTATTTATAATTATTAAATTGGAGACATTTACTTTCTTTAGTCATTTTTATTGGTTAATACTTTTTAGTATTATATGTTAATATTAATAATATTCATAAAGAGATTTTTTATTGGGTTATTGAATTAAAACTTATCTTACCTATGACATACTTATTTTGTATTTTTCTCTTTATTATAAGGGAAAAATAGCAAAACATGAACAAAGTAGACAATTACACAAGAGAAGCTATTAATAATTCTTTTAGAATATTTCACGTTTTGTTCTATATTTATTAATATCAACTTGTAATCTTGTTTTATTTATAATTATTTTATTTGTTTTATTTTCTTAAAAAATATTTAATTGATTATAACTTTTGTTGTAATGTTTTTTATTTCTTCTTTACTTTCTGTTTTTATGAGTATCTTCAATTTTTCTTCTTTACTTCATTCTTTTAATTATTGCTTTTTTCATTTTTTATATTCTTATCCTTTCTTTTTGTATTAGTTTATAATTCTGTTTCTTTTCGTATTTCTTGCTATTTCTTTTCTTGGTTTATACCTACTTATTTTATTTCTCTTCTTTCTTACTTTATTCTTATGATTATCTTTTTTCTTATTTCATTATTTTATTCCTTCTTGTTTTTATTTTTTACATTTAACACGAATTTTGTGTTTTGTTGTCATATGTTATTCATTTCCTATTTCTTTTTATCTTTAATTCTTCAATTTTATTGTATTGTAGTTTTTCAATTCTATTAATATGAATAGATATAATTAATTATTATATTTTTATTCATTTTATCATTACATTTCAAATGATTATTGTTTATTTTATATTCACTATTTTATTATTTTTATTTTTATACTGTCATGTATCATTTCTATTTAAATTTATAAATAATAAGTATTTTTTTCAAGTTGTGTTTATTCAATATTAGTTTCATATCTATTTTATGACTATTATTGAATAATATGTATTTTGACATCAATTTCAGTCGATCTATTTCTTTATTTGTTAAGTTTTCATTCAAATATATATATTTCAAATTCAGTTATTATATTAATTGAATTAGCATAATACAGAGAAGTAAATAAAGAATTTAAAAGAGTTATAAATGAAAATATTAAAATAAATTTAAGTTATTTTTTGTAATTGTATGTTGAGGATGTATTTATGCCAATTTTCTTTTGTTTCTTATTTTTTCATTTTTGTGTTGTTATTCATTCAATACTTCAATTAGTATTTGTATTGTAATGATACTTTGATACATTTTATTATTAATAATATCATTATATAATAATAAAATAAAGAGAATAAAGTGAAATGAAGAGATGTAAGAGAATGGAATAAATCAAAGACATTTGTTCATCAAAAATTTGAACTATTGTATAATGAATCTTATTAATATCTCATCTATTCATTTTTCTTCTAAAATTTGTTCTGAATTATTAATGTTTCGTTTGGTAGATAATTAACATTTATTTAATTAGTTGCTATTGAATATCATAACAAATAATAAAAATTAAAATATAATTATAGAATATATTTTACATAATTTATCAATTATAAAGAAACATAAAAAATGAATATAAAATAATAGAAAATTTGAGGGACTATATTTTTGAAAGAAAAGAGCACGTATAACATAAAGTGTAACAGCATAAAAATGAATTTAAAAATGGAAAAGAAAATAAGGCAAATTGAAAGAGATAATAAAGAATATATTTTACATAATAAAAAGTGTATGAAAAAAAGAAGAAGAGAAATGTCATAGAATAAGAAAGGAAGAATAATAAATAGATGATATGAAAAATAAGAAAATATATAAATAAGAATGTTATACAAATGAAAATAAAATTTTTTTTTTTGAAGTTGAGTTTATTCTAAGACTAAAAAGTAGAGTTATTGTGTGCTTATTCAAGTTGTTAATTTTTCATGTTTGTAGTTAAAATAGTGAATATTGTAAAGAAATTAAAATGGAAAATGAATACAGTGTATATGAATGTGAAGAGTATAAAATAAAAAGTGTATATTAACAGATAGTGATGAATGATATAAACTTGATTTAAATAACAACCAATGTATTGAGGAAGTTTGTTCTAATTAAATAATTATAATAATTATAATAAACATAGACATAGTGATTATTTGACTAATCATATTAATTCTCTAATTGAGGACATATTAATGTAATATTTAATAGAATAAATTCA